TTTTTACTTGAGGTATTTTAAGGATATTTTGATGCTCAGCTTTGTCCACTAGAGGGCGCTCCAGAGTGTGACAACTGCAGCAAAGTCATTAGACTCCTGTTGCATCCAATCAAATGCACTGTTATTGCTGCTGATACAAGCATCACTATACTGAAGTGTAACTGTACGCATATTTGAAGTGTTTTCATAGAAAAGTGAAATATTATTTATGTGTCTGTCCAAAAAGTTAACATTTTAATAACTTTAACAGCTTTTGTAGATCCAGTCTGATCCATACATTTTAATAGTTGAAAGAGATTATTGAAATATTATGATTACTTCTTTTTCTTTGTCATGCGTTGTGTAAATGGTAGGTTCATTAAATATAATTAACATTAAAAACATCAGATGAACTCCATTGTATTTTCATTGCAAGTGAATATGACTTGATGATTATATAAATCTTTGACCCCAACTCCAGGTTTCTCACTCACACCTGAGATACCCCAAGGTGTGGTGATTCAAGGTAACAACAGCAACCCTGCCAGCGAGAAGTTCAGAAGAGTTCGCAACTGGAGCATCACCAAATATAAGGTTGGAGGATTTTGACTAGACTTCCTGTTACTGTACTTTGGTGCCAGATATAATCTTTTACTATCGATCTGGTCTCCCCACAGTATACCAGGCAGGCTCTTTCGGAGAAGCTTGGCCGTGGGTCTCGTACCGTGGATCTGGACCTGGAGCCCCGCCTCGAGCTGCTCAAAGACGACCGACAGCGCTATGAAAATATGACCAGTCTGGCTCAGACGCTTGCCAGTCAGCTCTCTCAGCTCACAGTTACCCAGAAGAACCTCGGGGATGCCTTCACAGAACTCAGCGTCAAAACCCCAACTCTGCACGTAAGTATTGGGGATACAAGCTGCTACTTTAAGTCTACCTGCTAATGCTAACAGGATTACATACAGTAACCTTTGATGTATTTAGAATTACTAGATCCAGCGCTGGTGACATGCTGAACTCTAAGTTTCTTTGTCCAAAGATTATATATAAAAATCCCCAAGTTATGCTGTAAAAACACAATCTCCTGATTGTTTACTGTTTTTGGTCGTCATATTGATTGTGACTTCCTGAAATATTTTCCTGAATGATAGATGTCAACACTCAGGTATAACTTCCACATTAGTGCCAATAAAGGAGTAAAAGTCGAAATCTGCTAGTTTACCTGCTACTGCAGACAGATTGTTTGGTTCCCCACCACAGACAGTATGAAAGACCGCACTAATTAAATAATATTAATGATAATAATAATTAAATAGTGAAATCCTGTGAAGCCCAGATCTGAGAGCTTTCGTCATTAAATATCTTGGTA